TTTCGTGATATAAAACTTGTACGAATTGGTTAATTTTTTCATGAATGAATTAGTCAGCCACTAATTTCTTATTATATGTTTTGAATATTTATTTATATATTTATATCATATAAAAGGGTATATCTAATTCGATCTTCTGGCTACGACACTGCATTCCTATACCCACACAAGAATCAGGTAGAATAACAAAATCATGTCCATACCAGATTGGCTTTCAGGTATATCCATAGTTTTTAGGGTAATTAATTTTCCTTATAACTTCAACCAACATGTTAACAGTTACATGTATACTAACAATACGTAAGTGATACTGTACAAAAATAAATTACTAGAACGAGTAAAACAACTAAAAAATAACACAGTTTCATGAAAATATTATATATGTATAATAAACAATAGATATATTGATAGAAATAACAAAAAATTTAAACAAAATATATATATGCATGTGTAAAATCATACGAATTCGGGCTGAACAGCGAAAAAACCATTCTCATTCATTATCCGTAATATTCAAATTCGAGTTTTACTCATATCAGTAAAAAAATACTGGGTTGTCAATTAATAGGTGTGTTGAGGAGACAGAATGGGTAGTGAAGTGTACACTCTACTACCTAAAAACTGTTCTGTTTTGTGGGGTGTGAATTTATGATGAGATTGAAGGACCCTTTCTCCATCTCCTTCTCCATTGGTTTTGGGTGGCCGTGCTATGCTATTTGCTACGCTGACTCGCCGAGTGAGTGTTGGTTCCACCGACACTTTCATTTTTTTTTACCCCCACTTCACTTTCCATTGGGCTTTCCAAAATTTTACCATGCCACTATTTGTGCTCCTCCACACACTGGTTGACAAATTTTTCTTATTTTTGTGGAAAATTATTACTATTATATATGTAGTAAATGTTATCCTACCAAATTACCATTAGCCTATGTTTATCTTTATCATGTAGAGAGCAGACAGAATGAGAAACCAATGTTGTGTTTATAAAGCTAAATTCCACCCGTAGGTTTTGGTATCCGTAAACTGAAGGACCGAGGTCAACGGTGAAGGTTGAAATGGACGCCTTTGGAAATTGTAATATCTTATTTTATATTCATCCCATAACTAAATTGAGGTAAGATATATGTTTTGTAAGAAGATTAGTAATTTTTGTAAGGAACACCGACATGGCTGGGAATCTACTTGCAGCGAGAGTGGGCACTGTTGTCGATAAACTGCTGATATGGCTGTAACCTATTTGCATTAAACAAATCCAACGCACCCTTCACAGTTCGTCGCAATTTGTCTGTTTAAAAGGGCATCTGTGAGCACCATAATTGTATTGATTATTATAGACGCAATTGCTAGTTTTTTTTTTTTAATTCTTCTGTTGATTGGTTTCTTCGTTTTCTCTTCGAAGAGGGCTTCTTTCTCTTTTAACAATTAACGTTCCAGATAACCGAGTTCGAAATTGTGAACTACTAGTGACATTGTGTTAAAAGGTGCAGATAAAAGTTAAAAAAGGGTTAATACTTAATGGCCTCTTTTGGTCCATGTCATGTGTTTGTATTAGCCAAAACATTAATATAATATGATTGCATCAAGGATGAGCCAAATCATTCAACCCTTTTTCTTGGCAAATGAAATTACTGAAATTCTTATCTAATAATGAGTTAATGTATATGACATGTTAGTTATTCATGCGACGCTTATAATCAACCCTATAGTAATAGATTTGGATTGGACCTTTTACAAATAAAACGATACGACAGAGCCACTACAAATTCACTAATTCATTAGAACATGGGGGATTCTGATAAAAAAAGAAGAAAAGAGTCAAGTAGCTCTAAGTCTCATTCAAGTCACATTTATTTCGACCCCCCATTTTTATGGGAGTGTACCAAATCACATAACTATGATTGTTCCTTTGCCTTCCCTTTGGCTTACACCAGTCTATGAATGAAAAAAGGGCTTTAAGAAGAAGGGTTAATACCCTAGTTTGGCATGAAGTTTAGCGTTAGTGACAGTTTTGACCCCATTTTTCAAATAAGACGTTTATGGCCTACTTTTGAAATTAATGGACAAACTTGGCCCGGAATTTTCTTTGACTGTTAATATTGACGGTCAAACACTATTCCGTCAGTGATTCAGCAAAAAGACAGCTGATGTGGCATGCCACATCATTAAATAATATTATTTTAATTTTATAATTCAATTAAAATTCAAAATTAACCAATTAAAGAAATCCCCTCTTATCCCAAAACTCCAACCAAACCCTAAATCTATATGCTGCCTCCTTATCTAAACACATGCGGCAGCTTCTTCTTCATCTTCCCCATCGTCCAGCCGGCGCCGCACCGCGTCCGAGGAAGTCACTGCAGCTTCAAAGGCTCTCCACAGCGACCGCGCCGGAGATGACGAAGCAGTTGGGGATTTTCGAGATCATCCCCGCCCACACGATCTGCGACTTGGACTTCGACCCCACGGCGACCACTTCTATCCGCAGTTCGCGAGCACAACCCTTGACACCATCGGCGGGGGAAAGAAGGCCTGCCGTCGGGAAAACCTGCAGTTCACGTACCACCCCCACATATGATTCTCAACGACTATTATGATATCCCATCATCATTCCACATATCCCCCATCCCAATATACCTTCAATTTTGACAATTTTGTCTTGCGCAAATGAATCTGCATTTTTCCAACGATTCAGAACTTTTCCCCCTTTTAGCTTTCTCTCCCGTGAACAGATATTCACCCATATAGAATGCTCCCCCTCCGGCTCCATTAGCTATAGAGACTAGATTGGCTTTCTCAGTCTCTTCCTCTGCCCGTCGTCTTCGCCGCAAATTCCTCTACTCAGGGGATCTCCGCCGTCGAGCTATCTCACCGCCAAACGATGGAAGCCAGCAGAAGTCGGACAGTGCGCATGCGAGTCAGAGGAGTAGGAGTGGCGGTGGTCGTCGTCTGAGTTCAAGCGGACAGTCTTCCCTAGGTTGGGGTCGCCATCGGGCTTGCCTCAATTCTGTCCGGAGTCTCGATCAGGCTGGGTGAGGAGGAGACGACGAAGAGGAAGAAAGGGGATAAGGAATTAAAGGGAAAGTTTTGTTGTGGTGGACCATTCCCTTTTGTTTTGTTTTTATTTAATTTTCAAATGACGTGGATGAGTCTAGTCACCGGTGAAAGCTGAGTCATTAACGGGTTAAATGGTTGACCGTTAATTCTGACGGTCAAACATTCCTATATGCCAAATTTGTCCAATAATTTCAAAAGTAGGCCATAAACGTCTTATTTAAAAAATGGGGCCAAAATTGTCACTAACGCTAAACTTCGGGCCAAATTAGGGTATTAACCCTAAGAAGAAAGGGGACACTTTGCCCTTGAAAAAGTGCCTCAACTTTTTCCAATTTGTTAGGACACTGAATGGGACGCCACAAGTCCGGTTTAAGATGTTTAGTACATATGCTTAATTGCAATTCTGGGAGAGAAAATTGCTATTAAGATTCTAAAAAAAATATAACTGGGATTTATGCAGGCAAAAAAGAAAGAAGTCATCATTATTTATGCAGGTGAATCGAAACATAATTAAGAATGAGACAGGCTCTAAATTCTAATTCTTCGTCCAAAGTTATTAACATCGTTGATAGTAATCTTCATTCAAAGACCATCAATCACATTAGTTTACATCCCACCGACCATGTGAACCTCTACTGTTGAATAGCTTTTCAAAGGACTTAATATTACTACCCATGAAGTCTATTATGTCTTACGAATTTGATATGCAAATCATAATCTACATGTTCTGTGCATGCTAGTAAACAAAACTACAATCAAATTAATCAGTTAGTTAATTTTTCTTCATAACCAAATCACTTAAACAAATAAAACCAACTCATTTACCGTCATTCTTTTTCACATTACACATTTTACCTTTAACCTTTACGATAATCAAAAACTGCCATTTCAGCATGAGTTTCTCGATTTTAGATACTGGAACATTATCTGTATGGAGGAATCTAAGCATTGTGGTGCTGAAATTGCTTCATGGAAAGAAACAACATTAAAATCCAAAGCTCTGCGAACTTCATTCCAAACTTAATTGGTGCATGGCTGCCTGAGCCTGGCTTCTTCTTGTTCTTCTACACTGTTCCTTGCAGCTGGGTTCTCGTCGTCGTAGTACAATCTTCAAGGCTCCACTCTCCAATCTCCAACATGACCTCCGTGAGTAATTATTGTCTTTATTTAATCTGTTAGGTGAGCAATCAATTTCCTCTGTTTTTTTTTTTTGCACTCTGTCTAATTCCCAGTATTCTGGCAGCTCTTAGCCGACAGTGGATAAACCCAACCGTTGGAAAATCCTGGGTCACCGGTCGGATTGATCGTCAATCAAACTCTCTATTATTTCAGTGGTCATTCAATAGCCTGAACCTGTATATCTTATCCTGCCATGTACAATGTCTGAGTATGGCAGCCAACTTGATAGCCTCAGGTACTTATATGCAATCGCAATCTGAACCTCACCTTATTTTTACCATAGATATTTCAAAAGGAACAACCAATACAAAATACAAGTTTTGATAGACAATTGAGATAAAACAGAAGGAGATAAGAATGGTAAATCATCGACGATAAGACAATCTTTTATGTCACGAAATGGGTATTATTAAATCACAGGTCCTGTGAGTTATATTTTGACCTCTGAAACCAAACATGAAAAATTCTTTGTTCAGAATGGCACTTTTTTTCTGCTGCTAAGAGATTGACATAATAGGCCTAGTGTGATACATAAGCATATACCATTGTTTGTTTTCGACGTGGTTGATTAAGCACAAGATCCAATATGGTCAACTTCATGTTATATAATTCTGTCATCCCCCCACGTTTATGATTTTGTATGCCACATGCTCTTGTTCCCTCAAATCAACAAAAGCCAATGAAGCAGAAGCTGCAGAAACCGAATCCAAAACGAAATCCAACCTCACGTTTGAGCAAGAAACTATGGAGATTCCTTATGTTAATATCATACACGATGCCATGGCGTTCAATTATTAATAATCAATCAATCTTAATCCCGGGCAATCTGAAAAGATAGCACATAAGAACAAACCTGATTAAGTGAATCAATCATGCGCGTCCCTACCTTTTAAAGAGAGTCTGAGTAACAGCATCTTTCATTTTTACCCATCTCATTTTCTGGATTAACAAAATTTCATGAATAGACACAATCCTACATAGCTAGCTTAGCTAGAAACAGGACATGTATAAAAACGTATCAACTACGACTTTATACACCAATTTCTTCTAACCAACACTTCCTTTTTTGGGCCATTTTCTTCCCTATAGACTGAGCACTGAAGTAGTCTCTACCTTTCTTGGGCACCCTCATCAATAAATTAATGAACTAAACACTTAAATTTCAATGGAGGAGTAACAAACATTAGATGAGGATGAGGAGGAGAAGAAGCAGAGGAAGAAGGAGAAGAAAGGGTAGCTGCAGCTACTTTCCAAGGAGTTCTCTTCAAACTCAGTCATGAGTACTTCTGCTATACCTCACTGATCTCGCCATCCCTACACATCCCGACGTCGATCGTAATCGTCCCTTTCTTCTTCGTGCTCATTACCCTGCAACAGTTCCTTCTTGGAGACTGCCACCATAAAACAGAGTAATTAACTTAAATGGCAAGAAATCAAATGCAACCAACAACATCAATCAAGTACTAAAAGAGCAGAGCTCTGGTTTTCATTTACACACTTACCCTACTCCACAACTGAGGATCAGGCCTCTTATACACCACCGCCATGTTTATACTGCTTGGATCGGCCATCTTCCACTTGCATTCAGGGTGGGGGACACGATGTCGTTGGTACTCGCTCACCGTCGTGTTCAACGAGGTCAACGACCTCGCCTTGGAGAGGTAGAACACGAACGGCTTCTGGCAAGGGTTCCTGGCCACAGGGCGAGTGTTGAACGCATAGGCCGTGTAATCGGCCCTCCTGTACCAATTCAAGAAAGTCCTCGAGGGCATTTCGATCTCTCGAGGGGAGAACACTCCCCTGAAGATTTGAACCGCGAAACCCCAGGACACCGAGACGGTCCAGCTCCGTGACTTGTCGTAGCAGATCGACTGCTGCATTATCCCAGCTGAGTCCATCTTCATCGGCACCGCGAGGCGCTGCAGGGCCTCGACCCGTGTCACGTTCGGGAAGATTGGCTCCACCACGTCGAGGTGGTGCAACGAGACTAATGGCGTCACTGGGTGTGATGCTAGCAGGCCGAATAGATTGCCGTACACATCATACTGCAAAAGAGAAGAATCACTGAATCAGGCATTGGTTCAATAAACGACGGTAAGACGGTTAAAAATCAGTTTACCGTTTCAACTACACATTACTAACTTTGATATGGAACTGGAGAGTGGAGAGGGTACAAGTGAGGGAATGCAGAGGCTTTCTCAATTTGGGGGCGGGTAGGATACACGCGCGAGGAGAGCGCGTGTAGAGGAGACAAGAAGTTTAATCGGATGGTGTAGCGTGGACGGAGCAAAGGTCCGAAACAGGAGTGTACACGTGGGCCCTGGCCCGGGTACCGGGAACTGACGTCAGATACGGACGGAACGGAACGGGGTTGAGCTCGTGACTCGCTACTCAGGCAGGACAAAAAAGGAATGATTGTGGGGAAAAAAGCCGACCCGGCGGACGAGTCAGAACGAGTCACCGCCACGAAAACCAACCCGAAACCCGGCAGGAAATTGCCCGAAACCCGGACATAGGACGATTTTCCGTTATCGAGGATAAATTTTAGCAAAATCAAACCCGATAAACCCAACTCGGCTCATTAAACTCAACTAGGGAACTGGTTCAATGCTCGAATTAAATGCAATGCCGGCGGCAAAAACGTCGGTGGCGGAATTGGAATGGGCAACTAAGAAGTAAAAAATTAACTAACCTGGTGGAACCCGACTTCTTTGGTGAGGGGAACGCCGAGCTCCGCCATACAGGCCTGCATTCTGTCGTCGGAGCCGTACAGACCGGGGTACCGTTGAATACAGCGGTCCTGAATCTTCTCGAGGGCTTTGGCGAGCGGGTAGCTAATGGCGAAGCCGCCGCCGCCGTAGGCCATCCCGTAGGAGAAGTAGATGTTCTGCAAATGGGATTCCGATAAGCTGCCGATGTAGTAGTACTGGGTGTGGTCGTACTTGCGCAAGATCCGGATCAAGTTCTCGGTGACGAAAACGGTGTCGTCGTCGCCCATCACGAACCACCGCACGTCCTCCATCCCGAGGCGGAGCGTTTCGGAGACGATCCGCGAGATCCGAATGGCGGACCGGTGGCCCTGCTTGTTCTTGTACACGAACTTCGAGGTGTCCCCGGAGATTTTAATCGGCGGCAGAACCCCTTTGTCCTCCTCCTTGGTCTCCACCTCGTCGTCCAGCCAAACAACCCCTCTCATTCTGTCGGCCTTGTACCAAATCTTGATGTATTCCTTCCTCTGCTCCCAGAGCTTGGCCGACGCCGCGATGCCGAACACCACGTGCTGCAAATCCGTCGGCTGCTTCTCGGGCCGCTCCTCGATCTCCCGCCGCGGGAGAGCGATTCCCGTCGCCGCCGCCCCCTCGGCGAGGCCTACGTCGGATTCGGAGTCGTTGCCGCTGAGGGCGACGAGGGAGAGGTGCTGGGGCTGGGAGGAGCGGTGGCGGGAGAGGGGGTCGTCGTTGCAGGGTTGGGAAGTGGAGACGAGCCTCAATGTGTAGAAAACGTAGGTGACGGTGACGAAGAGGAGAAGCCATACCATGAGCTTGGGGAGAATCCGAGCTGGGGAACCGGGTACGGAGATGGAATTGGCGTGAGAAGGGCTCCTCAGCTGATCCCAGATAACCTTCTCCGAATCCTTCTTGTTCCCTTTCATCGTCGTTCCCAAATGAATGCTCCCGCTTCGCCTCAGCTTGTAGGGATTTGGGGGATATTTCTCTTCAATTCAATCCACCAAATGGGTTTTCTTACTTTCTTCAACCAGATTCGGGTTTGGGGGATGTGGGGAACAGGGAATGCGATTGGGATTTAGCATCAATGAATCGAATTAATCATTGAGTGGAAAAGGGGGGAAGATGGGGAATTAGACATTGGAGTTACAAAGTTGGGATCAATCGTTCAATCCCCCACAACTAGAAGGCAGGGGAAGGAGAATGGAGGGGGGAAATTGAACTGGGAAAATGGGGGATAGAATTTAAGAAGAGGGGAGAGGGAATGGAGGGCTTAGAGGAATTGCAGAGGGGAAGAGGGAAGGAGAAGAGAGAGCATGCAGAGCTGCCAGGTCGCAGACTCTCCCCAAAGTGAAGAATTGGGGGAAAGGAAAACTATTGTGTAGGGGCGACAACCCACAGAAAACTATTTATCGTGGCTTTCTCCTTTGGGATTTTCCTCAATTTTTTTTATTCGATTTACTTTATTTTAATATTTTCGTGTTGTAGATATTTTAATCACTGAAATGATGTATTCTTTAACGTTTTCAGTCCTTGATTTGTGTCACGGAGTGATTTTTATTATTTTTTAAAACAATTAATTTGATGATTCATTGGAGTCACATTGTAAATTGTTTAATATATATCAAATAGAAGTAGGACTAGTGTAGGCACTAGGCATCTTTTGCCCATCTTTTTTTATTAATAAGTGAATTCAGGTCTTTTGTTTTTTTGTCATAGAAACCCTTGCGGATTAACTAGATAAGCACGAGATAGCCACAAAATAACGGCTTCTTCGTGAGAAGATAGTCAAAGGAGGAATGAACAGTTAAAACGAACACTACTAGTGCCAGAGTAGCATAAGGCATTACGTGCCACAACATGGGCAGCCCTATTCGCTTCTCTAGGAGTAAAAACAACAGAAACCAGCGGCATTTCCTGTAACATTAAGATGACTTCTCGTAAGACAGCTCCCGCAAGAACATCGTTGGCATCAGAGGTTATCCTTATAATATTTTTATTTGTTAGATTTGGATTGTGGTTATCCTTATAATATTTTTTTCCCCCTCTTATGAATGATCACTATACCGATGTCATCGAGGTTCTTCAACTTAAATGTCAAGCATGAAGGGTTTATGATAATTATTAAGAGATGGATGTAAATTTTGCTGAAATTTGTTATGGATAGTTGTTGGTGAAACTTAATCGGACCAGAATATTTTTAGCTTAAGATTCTATTACTATGAACTCAACCGAGAAAGAAGGTATAAATTCCTTCAAAAGCATTGAGGTAGTTTTTTCATTTTGTATGTACAATCAAATGTAAACAATAATTTTATCATCATATTAAATTGAGCTAGAAAAGCGAGCTAATTCGGTTAGGTGATCAGTGACAAAATTAGCATACACTCCAACCATCAATAACAAATGACACGCATTACCGTCCTAGTGCTTACATAAATAGAGGACTTGCAAAGTTGAAATGAAACTAAAATTGCGTAATATTAGGACTCTATCATATGTTGAAAATTTGGATTTCACATTATATATCATGTGTTTTTTTCTGTTTTTTTTGGCTCACCCTGCTGCATGTATCATGTGTTTTTCATCTTCTAACAGAACTACAAACTTTTTAAATTATAATTTGTCATATTGAAAATAAGAAGGATTTTTAAAATGAAAATAATGATCCAATATACATCAACAATGATTCGATATAAAAGCATTCGTAATTGCAATACCGCGATTAGGATGCGTCTCCCCCCTAACAATCCAAAACAATTCCTCAAAAGAAGAATGGGCACTGCATTATTGCTTCCAAAAAGCACTTTCGTTTGCTTGTTAAGCATGTTTATCTTACTGTTAGCCTTTCTCATGCTCTTTTTTATTAGTGCACTTGTTCTTCTTTATGCATTCTGTTCATATGAGTAAAAACAGGTTGTCTTCTTAAATGAAGGCAGGTGGGTGAAATGTAAACTGGAAGGCAGTACAGAAAGTTTTCGCCCCCTTTCTTACTCATTCATGTCCTCCAAGGTCCACCCCTTTAATGAAAAAGGATTGGTGTTTAATATTGCAGCAGCATAAAATTAACAATATGGAGCTATGAAAATTGATGGATGAAGAGTGTGAAGTGGGTGCAATTTTGTGATTAAGCTAGATCAATCAAGTTTCCTTTTTCCTATGGCTAACTGAGACATGTGAACAATTTTTCTACGTTGGACTATAAATATCCACTTCAGCTTTCAAGAAAATAAGTATCCGTAAAAGTTCTGATTTCTGTACAAAAGGGTTTATCGAAAAAATATGATTATGTTTGGTTGTAGAGACGTGAGAAGGAGGTGATGCATTAACTTCTTTACATAGTGTGCAAATTAATATCCATTTATGATGACAAATGACTTTTGTAATGTATTGAAGCCATGGAGAGTTAACTCAGAAATTTCATAATCGAATGCAGATGCAATCTCATAAGAGAAGTGAGTTGTTATCGTGGAGTAGATGAAAGGTGTTGGCGGGTTCGAAAAGTGTGTCGAGAAATTTCATACTCTAATCTCTATAGTATTTTTTTTCATTGGAAAAGGTTGTTTTACAAAATTGGCTAAATGATCTATCTTGTATAAAGTATTTGTCCAAACTCCAAACTTATATATGTTGACATTGGTACAATGTAGTTTACAGTGACTGTCACGCATATGGACTGAGGTTAATCGAGAATAAAAAGAAAGACAACGATCAATAAGAAAGTAAAGAACATGAGTATTTACGTGGTGCACCAACATATCGTGTGTTTATTAATTCACGAGCAGAAAAGAGTCAGCTTCACTATGATTGAGCAGATTGATACAGAAGCCTACGTATTTCATCTAGAGGTGGCAATTTCAATCCAATCCACCAATCCAATTCATCAATCCATTAAAAATATCCACCTAATCCAATCCATTTAAATCCAATCCATTTGATCCAAATCCAATTGGATTGGTGGATTCATGGATTGGATCCATGGATCATTGGCAAATTACAGTTTAGTACCTATAATTTTTATTTTTTACATTTTGGTACCTAAAATTTATTTTTTATACGAAAAATATCATTGGAAAATTACATTTTGGTACCTAAAATTTTTCATTGTGACATTTTAGTACCTAAACTTTTTACATTTTACATATTGGTCCTTTGTTGAGGATGTCATTTGGATTTATGGATAATCCACCAATCCACTTGATCCAATCCATGAATCCACCAATCCATTAGATCCAATCCATTTGATCCATGGATCCACCAATCCACCAATCCAATCCATTTGCCACCTCTAATTTCATCTATATGGAAGTCTAAAATCGAAGAGTAGGATTTTGTAGCGCTTTTAGGTTTGTCTATCCATTTCTGGTCTCTGTCAAAGACAACTTGACAAGAAACTTATGTGTTGTTTTTACTCCAATTCAATTGGCAACATAATTAACGGTATACATCTTTCTGATGAAGGCCTAGCTTTTGGCCCTTTAGAGCTGCATGTTACTTACTTTACTTTGTTTACCCTCCTTGGAAAGACATATATATGGACTGTAACTTCTTAGGCTTCTCATCATCACCACTATTCGTTCATCAATTGCCTGGTAAAAGTATTGCACATCAATTGCCATGTGGGCAAAGGAATTATGTTGGACATTCTTCTTTGGTGGAAAAGGTGAAACAAAGAGTGAAAAGGGAACAAAGAAGAAGTGATCAAATTCATGGGTCAAAATTAATGTATCATTTAATTATGTACTATTGCTTTTAATAATTTCTTCGAACTTAGTACTTCTTAGGTTAGGGGAACAGATCAGGAAGCTTAGGTTTAACCATCCTAGTTAATTATTGTTTCAATCCAGCATATGCTACTTTATTAATTTAGTGTGCAAGACCAATGTGAAATAAGTTAAGTTACATTGCATGATGCATAAAGTAATCACATATCATACTTTTTAAAGTACATATATTGAGCATAAAAAAATTAAATAGTTTGGGTCGTCGAAGCGGTGGAATATTCATTCAAGAAAGATCTTTAGGAACGAATTTGTCAGGACTTTATTGGAGACACGTTTACGGCTAAATTCGTGGGGCTCAAAGTCGGCGGACCTTCGTAGCCAAAGACATTAGAGTTACTTTACCCAAATTTATAAGCGATGGATTACATAACAAGTTGCAAAGCAAACTGGTAAGCAAAATCGATTATAAATGAATAGTCATATGAGGATTGGATTGAGGACTCATCGGCCTTTAATTCGACCAAATAGATTAGTAAGAATTTGAACCAAAACACTTCCACTGCAGAAGAAGTCTGTCAACGAAGAAGCTACCCACTAATTCAAGCTTAATCAATTAAGAAGACTCTCCTCCACAAAGGGATAGCTGATTAATTAATAAACTTTTCAGCCCTTCTCATGCTTTTGTTTAATGGAATCAGGCAGCTTTCCAACTTTGTCAGACTCGAATTGACCAAACCCCCCAAGGCCCAGGGCTGTAAAAGGAGGAAAATGGTGATCGATATATGGCTTAACATTTTGCAGAAAAGTAAGTCCATTTAAGGCCGGTGGCTGTAGGTGGTTATTGGTGAGTGGTGAGAGATTGAGAGAGAGGGGAGAGTTCTTAATTAAGAACACAAATTAAACTAATTATAAGCCCACCACAAGAAAACAAAGGACCCAAATCATTACAACGTAGAAAAGAGAGAAGGAAACGTTTGAATATGAAATCGAAGGTTGTACCGGAAAATTCAGTGATTGAGTATTTTATACTAAAATTGTGGTTTAATCGTTGTTCAACCACTTCATACAGTTAAATATCACCTACCGGTAAGAATTTTTTCTGGTCGAACAGCTGGTATGATACGGTATTTCAATCCTTGGTTTCAATGAATAGGTTGCGTATTGTTACACGAATACAACTGAGAATTTTCTTTTAACATAGATGAGAATTTGTGGAGAGGTTTATTAGTCGATAAAAATGATATGATAAATAAAAATATAATTAGTATATTTTTTTTTTACAGTGATTAGCGGGGAACATACTTGCATATTATGAGAGGTTCATTAAAAATATTTATTGTTTATTTTGCCGCTCAAATATTTTTCTACGGATATCTAAGCAATTTTTCCTGTTGCTTTTAAAGAGCTTCCCTCTTGTAACATTGATTCCTTTAGTTGTGTCAATTGAACAAATGCGTCTCCATTTTGCGACTTTACAGGCCTCCTAAGGGCACCCCATGTGACGGTCTGTAGGCCGAGCTTTTTTCCTTAGTCACATTCACTTTCCTATTTCTTGGAGAAAAATGCATACTTTACAACAATTATTGATAAATTGATCACTAACATAATTTTGAATATTATTTTTATCAACTTCATAGTAAAACATGTCATTTCACCGCTTGCAATAATAAAAGACGAGCCAATTTCAATTTTTGGAAGTGTGATACAGATCATAGATAGTTTCAAATTTTTAAAATGACGAAACATAAATTATTCACCAAAATCTTAGACGGAGGTGTATTTCCAAGTGAAATTAACATTTTATCAATTGTTCTATTTCTTAAATTTGCCACATATTTTTTGGGTTGTATTTCGACCCTAATTTGTAAGTTCAGGAGGACAATGTTCCTCTCTCGCTCCGCCAATGTGGGGCACCGTCGGGGTAAAAAAAGGGACGTTGATATGCGAATATAACTGTCCTAGATGATTTTTTTTTTTTAGATAAGGGTGATATATGTTACTTTTTTTTTATTAGGTACTACTGAAGGGACTCGAACCTGGGACCTCCAGGTTCATGGCTATTGATATTACCACTAGACCAATCCCTTATTCGTAAGGGTGATATAACTGTCCTAGATGATTATGTTATGTAGTAACCATTAATGGACAAGATATGAACAAAATTAATGTGGTAAGTTTGGAGATTTGGACACTTAATAGTAGTAGTTAGAGTGCCACTAATAGAGGTGTGGGGGGATAGGGGTCGTTGTCGCAGGAGTAGCTGACCTATTTCAATTCGTCATTTTCTTCTCATTAAGAAAAAAGCAAACAATTAAGGTGGTGGGGTGTTGTACTGATCGTCGTTTTCGTGGACCAACAAAACTGCTAATCATGTGTATAAATACATACACCGTCAAAACAGATAGACTAATTAGTAATTAGAGACCATCACCAACTACAGCAACTAAACAACCCAAGTCACATTACATGTCCACTAAGACTCTCAATTATCACCATTCACCACCAGCTCCAGAAAACCCCACCTCCTTTGGGTGGCTAAACCCACCTCGTTTTATAATCCATTTAATCCTATCCATCTAATTAACTTAAATTAGGTGATCTGCACTGGCGTGTTAATGCCCATGTATTTGTTTGTGTTAAGGGGATGGTAACGGCCTTTTTGCGCCAGCGGGTATCGGACTAGACTATGGGGTGATGTTTCGGTCTGCTTCGATTTTCTTAGGAATAAACAGGATTTCAACTGGTGATATTTGTTTTTTTATAAAAGATCTTCCGTTGCACAAGTCAAGTTACTCTATGATAAAATTTAGGACGAATGTTGCCTTGATGATCATGTGTATCACTTAGGGAGTTGGGGTGTATGGTGTGGTGAATTGGCGTAACGAAAGATGTTTCGGGAAATAGTCTATTTGTAGATGACTTAAAATCCATTATAAAAAAGTGGTCATAGGGGGGGGGGGAGGGGGGAGTTGGTTCATGGGAGGATATGAGACTTGTAGCCACCGAGAAACCTAGCTGAATAGGTACTCGCTACTCACATCACATTTATGAGAGCGTCCTCATAGGACGTACAATCACCTAATCACGCTAAATATTTTGTAGCCATTTAATAAACGCGGTTACAATTTTGTTATCCTTTATTATAAATAGGTTGACTATAACTAAATTTATCAATAGAAGATCATGCATATAAATAGGAGGTGATGTATGTGTACCTAAGAAAATAACTTGTACGCGTGCCAATTACACTAGGGGAGGCGTCTACAATTGGGATGATAACCAATCAGGCAACCACCATATTTTTTGTTTCCTTTTTCTTTTATGCTTTCATCTAGAAAGGAAATGGACGAAAATAAGCATATGCATTGCTTTGTAAGGGCATGAATCCCAAGCCTGATCCATGGAGGAATGGGCTGGATTTATCTGGGCCAGACTGCATCCTGGGCCGCATAGAGATGTCCAGCCCAGTTTTTAAAATACATATTTGGATCAAGATCACTAATATCTTAAGAAAAGAAAAAGTGAATACTGGCTCAACTTATTTTATTGGTAAAATATAATTATATAATCATGACTTTGACAAATATAGTCATAACTAGCTGAAAACACAAAACAGTCAAGAAATTGGATGGTCGTGTGACAAATCTAGCCATTTCCATTAGAAACTTTAACGGTGTTAGAGATGCCGTCAACATTATAACAACAAGTTCATTAAAAAAAACAGTATGACAATATGAAATGTGATGTATGGAAAATGACATTTTTTTTTTGTAATCTACATTTTTAGACACATATTTGGTTGTCTTATGACGAGGCATCTGAATAATTTTATCATAGCCTACACGATTTGGTATTAGGAGAGTGTAGTGTTCCAAAATTTGTTTATAGAGAAGATGAAGCAGGAAAGGAATAAGAACTCAAACGCAAACATTAGTAACTCAGGGCACGCTCAACATGTATCTTGGATCCCCCTCCAAAAACACCGAATTCTGGGTTCGGTAGCCCTCTTTAATTCTCAAGCATAGGAAACGAGATGAATAATGTACGGATAAGGGATCACTAATTCCCTATCCACAAAGTAAAGCTGCTAATTAACTGCGGGGAATCAATGGTGATTTCTTTCTGCTGCTGCTTCCAACAGCAGAGGTAGCAGAAGAATGAGCTGTTCTAGAGAGAAGAGAAACAATGGAGTGAACTGCGGCAGCTGCAATCCTCAGCTTGATCTGCCCTCTCCTTCTCGGCAATCTCCTCATCGTCGCAGCGGCGCCTCCTAAAGCTGCAACAGCAACACGGCTGGAATTCTTGTTCATCATCTCAATCTTCTTTACTGTAATGAAGCAGGGGGGAAAAGGAAAGAAAAGTGTGTTTGATTGAACAATTCCTTAAATTTCTGCTACTGTTGTCGTTACAATGTTGGTTGTTTGTTTTAAGCCCTACCCATATGCTGATTTCGATTGTTTGTATATATACAGAGAGAAAGATGGGTGGGGGAAAGACAGAGCAGCCGCTTAATGGGAAAGGAAGGAAGAAATGAACACATGGGCTGGGGCAGATGTTCAGAATATGGATTTTGGTTTCGAGTGGCTACAGGTTGGTTGGGGGCACATTGCCAGCTCTTGGTTACCGTCCAATGTTGTGTTGTTTTCTGCTAAATGTTGCAGACAAGTTGATTTGGTCTTCTTGTTGGTGGGTTAATCATTGTGTTAATGTTGTCGTTTGATTTGGACTCCAAGTAATGATTGTGTTTGTCTAGTGTGTACACGTGAAGTTAGTCTCTGCTAATTAAACATGCTATCTGATTTCCTGATCTATCTAGGAAATTTCGTTGCTGGGATTATTATGTAGTACATGTTTGTGATTGTTTCTGGTATTGAGAGATTGTTATAAGGGTTGATTGACAGATCAAAATGATTTGGTGGCTGGTTTAATGGATTGCAAGAAATCAGTTGATTTGTCATCTAGTGGGTCTTAAGATGGGGTGTCTGTTACCATTATTGTTGTGATTGTGCTGATTAGCTGTTAATTACTTGTTAATGATATAGAAACTGTTTTGATCTGTCTGCCTGCCTCCATTAGAAGAAACCAGAAACCAGCCTCCAAAGACAGCACCTAAGGGAGGGAAAAGATGGTGATGACTTTTTTGGTTTTGCCGCATCACATGCATGAAGAATATCAAATCAGTGAATGGTTTTCATGGTTCATGCCATGAATGTTAAAATCAGCAATATGTTGGCTTTATTAGTCTTCATCCGTTCCTCCCATCCAATACTCAATTCACTCGAGTTATTCCTGTAGATTTACCCATTAATTTCAGTGTTGTTTTTCTCAGTGGGAACTGTTAGCCCTAACAATTCCAAGTAGAGGAGGTCCAGCTGTGTAAGCTGTTGCCACTACTGAAGCAAAAGACTATTTAGATTAAGCTGAATACTGAAAATTACAAGTTGTTCAACTGCTACTCTGGCGGTACAATTAGGTATATATTTGATTGTATTTAGATTAAATAGTTTCAACTCGTGTCATTCATATATGATTTGTCACTTCATATACATTAGAATAATCGATCATTACTTATACACTGAAATATGCAATGAATTCTGTCATTGTTCAAGTGGTGGTCTTGGCTAGCTTCGCCACCAAATCAACCTTAATTAACCGAGAAGAAAACCACTAGAAGTAGCATTTTTTAAACCAGAACATGTTTAGCATGGTCCATAACTGGTCTTTTTTCCATTGCATGTGTGGCTCCCATAACACTACTACCACATGTCTGTATTAGCAGTCAGGGGGAGATTGTATTGGACGACTAGAAGCTTATGATCGAGAGACAATGTAGATGGATTTCCAAAGTCAATAAATTGTTAAGTGATGAATCATAATTGGTTGTGACTTGTGTCTGACTCTGATAACCACAGATTGCATTATTGCTTCCCCTGTTTGCTACCTTTTTTCTGAATAGGAAAGGTTACTATGAATGAAGATTTACTGAAGCAAAGAACCAGAAGTGATTCCATTGAAGGTCTATTAATTTGGTTGACAAATACAACTTCATGAGTGTTTGTAACTTGAAGTATTGGAGGGGATTATACTCAGAGCGTGCTCAAATATGTATCTTGGAAGTTGGAACCCGCTTGAGAATTAGAAACCAATCAGGAAAACTATTACGAACCCAATTGCAACGAAATCGAAACAGGAACTGGGTCGGTTCCTTCTAAGTACATAGCCAACGAAAACCAAAAGAATTTACAGATGGGAATCGGCGTACAAAAAAGATGCTAACTTTAAGGAATCAATGGTGACTATTTCCGCTGCTGCTGTGGTGAGCAACAGCAGAGGAGGCAGAGGATGAAGTTCTAGAAAGAAGAGAAACAATGGAGTGAATAGCAGCAGCTGCAATCCTCAACTTGATCTGGCCTCTCCTCCTGGGCAGCCTGGATGCCACACCTCCAAAAGCTGCAGCAGCACGGCTAGCATTCTTGTTCATCATTTTCTTTGCAGTAATCAAATCGAGAAAACGAAAGAAAAAAGTATGTCTGATTTGAGCACTTTCCTTAGCAAACTTCTTGCTGCTATTGACTGATGCTGTTGTAGTGTGTGTTATTGTATGAAGCACTAGCCATCTGCTGAATGGTATATATATAGGGAGAAGCAAACCATGGGCTGATGATCCAATTGAGTTGTTTTCGTGGCAAGTTTTTGGGGATGGTGGAAAGTCAATGGGAAGGTCTGCAAGTGGGCTAGAGGTTGGGGCACATTGCCAGCCTTGCTCTGCCTTTCGGCCACATTTCTTTTTGGGTTTCTGCTAAAGGTTTCAGACAAATTGATATGCTGTTGTTGGTGGGTTTAATCTAATGTATATCATTCAATTGTTATTGTTTTCTGAACTTCAATAATTGTGTTTGTGTAGTGTATCATATGTATGCGTGTACAGTTTACACGTGCAGTCCTTCCTACTGGGGATGATCTATCTAGGAAAGTTCGTTTCTGGATCATATTATAAGAGTGTTGAGATTCTGGGTTTTATGGTTGGTATTTGACAGAGCAAAATGTTGCAGCTGGGCAAGACCATCATGTCCATCGTTTTCAACTTTCCTGACTGGTAGGTCTGGTATCTGCTTGGTTGATTGATTGATTCCACCTCTTGATTTTGACAGACAAAGGTGGTTAAAAAAATTTGTTTTGTCCTTCCAATTTGTACAACTTTCAGGAAACAAAACAAGGACTTCCTAATCCAAACCAAAGAACTGGAATTCGTTGAATCAACAGTACTTTAGTGTTATCTCATATCAAATTAGCACTAGTATATTTGTTATATTGTCTTTATATGATTTGAGGTTTGCGTCAGTACAACATTTCATGACGCTTGTTAATAATTTAGCAAAAAGAGAAAAAAAAGAAATTGTACTTGCTTCTGATTACGTCGAAGATTACCGCAAGATACTCATTTAACCTAGTTGTACTACTAAGATAGACCTCATGAAGGCCTTTGTTTTACTGAATGGCTAAACGTCGCCCTAGTTTTAATATTATCGCCCTAATTTAAAACATAATACGACTAAATTGTCCTTTAATTAATACAATTCAAATTCAATAAAACAAAAAAAATCCCCTAAAAATTCTAATCCCCACCATCGCTGACCTTCTCCTCAGATTTCTCAACAAACCCTTTTGTTGACATCCTTCTCCCCTGCACTCCATCAAAGGCTGTGAATATCGAGCGAGTAACTTACATATGATTTACCTGGAAACCAAACGAGGAAAACTGAGAGGCCTGACTAAGTGATAACCGTTCAACATCGCCCAGTCAATCGTCGCCGCCGCTATCTTCTCTGGTCATTGCTTGATGAGAAATCATCGTCCTTGTCTTCTCCAGGCGCCGGTCCCAGCGAAGAAGACCAAACCAGCTCCCTTGTTCGTCAAATCCGCCTTTGCCATCTGCAACCGCGGCTCCCATTTCATCGCCGCTGTGAACTTCACTGGCCGTCAACTTCCAGCTCCAAGTCGCCGTCAGCGACCACATCAGCGACTTCCGTCGCCAATCGCTGCCTCCAGCTATAGCTCCGCCTCCGAAAACACAAGTCACCGTCACCATCTATCTGTCTCCAGTCCGACGCCGTCTCCATCAATCAGCCGCTGCGGCCGTCTCCGCCATCGGCGCCACTCGATCTCCTCATCCCGTCGGTGAGGATGCGGTGCACTGAACGAAGTTGAGCACCCAAATTTGATCCAGATCTAGCGTCGTCTTTTCTATTCAAAGCCTCCCGCTCCGCTCCCGTCAACAATCGTTGTCCCCATCTCCTGGCCGCCCGCTGTCACCCCATCGTCGTTGGAATCGGAGTTTCCCGATTTAGAAAAGAATCGAAGTGATGCAGTCGGAAAAGAAAAGAATCAGATTCGACAATTAGGTCAGGGCGATTAGGGCCCAATTCACGATTAAAAGAGATAAAAGGACAAAAAAGTCATTTTAACCCTTCAAATTAGGGCGAGATTTAGCAACTCCCTTGTTTTTTTTAGTAGACTGGGGGTTTTGGTTAATTGCACGAGGCGGATTGGCTAGTGAAACACTAGAGTCGTACAAGTGACATTGCGAGGATGGTAAATTGCTATGGAGCATAGTAGTGAGAAAAGTGTGGTGCCAAATATGTGGACATATGTTTATTATTATTATTATTATTATTATTATTATTATTATTATTATTATTATTATTATTATTATTATTATTATTATTATGATGTTAGGGATTCAGCTTGTTCGGTTAGTAATTAGTGTCGGATAGGGCCTAGTACGTAGTCCGCGGGGAGTTGGGCTTCTCAAGGGCGGCGGGTTAGGGGTAGGGGCCGAGTGGCCTAGTCGGGTATTAGAGTTTCTACTCTATAAATATGTATGTTCGGTGTTAGTACCGTTTACCGAATTAATAAGAAAAGGGCCTTTCGACTCCAAGTCGTTCTCTCGCTTGTGAGTTACAAGCAAACCCTACCCCGATAGCAACAAGTTGCTATCATGTGTTTAGTTGTGAGTGATATTGAGTTGCAATTAAGTCTTGCTAAGTTAGAGTTGGGATGGTGATAACAAGCAAACCCTACCCCGATAGCAACAAGTTGCTATCATGTGTTTAGTTGTGAGTGATATTGAGTTGCAATTAAGTCTTGCTAAGTTAGAGTTGGGATGGTGATAGATATTGATATGTTTTTCATTTGTTGTTGATAGTTGAGTTGAGCTGTTTAGTTTTGTTTTGCTTGTACCCCTGTTTGATGGTTTATAAACTCGGACAAATGTGGCATTTGTTTGGCTAACCTAGGGCTTAATGAAAATTATGATTTTATCGACATATTATTATTGTTTGGCCAATTATTATGGTTCAATTACTAACACTATCGACATATTATTATTGTTTGTTTAGAGAATAGGTAACAAACGTTTGTTAAATAAAAATGGGCTTAATTGCAAGTTTGGTCACTCGAATTGCTATAAAATTTCACGTTTGCCACTCAAATTAATTTATTCAATTTATAGTCACTCGAATTAGTTGAACAGTTCAAGTTCGGTCACTCTCCGTTAACCTCCGTTAACTTTGACTGAAGTGGCGGTCAACTCTGACAGTTGACCGTTAAATGTGTGACGTGGCAAATAAAAAATAATTAAAAATTTATAATTAATTTTTAGAAATTACACATCATTATAAAAAAAAATATAATTATAAAAAATTATATTCCCCCGGCGGTGGTGGCTTCTGAAGAGTGAAGATTCCCCCGGCGGCGAAATCGCTGGCTGCTTCAATCCCTTCCTCTCGTGGCC